TGTTTTATATATATATTCTATGCATATATACAAAATATGTAAAAAAATGTTTGTTCTCAGTAGGACCTGCTAGAGGATAAATCCTAGAAGTAACCTCTGAACAGCTTCTGACTCTGATTCAGCTTCAGTGACTCCCCAGATTTTCTTTGGGGGGGAATCCAAATATCCCATTGGGTTTCTTCTTAAGCATCTTCTTGTACATTTTTACTTTATAAAACGCAGAATTGCAACACTGAAGTAATTGCTCTTTTTGCTATTTCCTGAGTCTTGCTAGCGTTTAATAGCTAAAAAGTGTTTCATGTGAAACTTTGATGTTTACAGAAAAGTAGTAGAGACTCTTATACAGTCGATTGCAAAGAATCCTAACTAGATACAAGTTTCTAGTAAGCTTTAGAAGCTTCATGTCCAAATTAAAGGAATGGAGTTTGAATACATGATATTAAGCCTATGCTTAGTCTTGGGAATATTACTCTTTGTTGATATTCTCACACCCTGGGGCGGAATAGAGCAAGGGGTCAGCATCAAACTGCAGCAAGCACTGATGTGTTTTACCATTGTGAAGTTGTATGGCTGATACTCTCAGGAGAAATGTCCTTCATTTATGAGCACGAATTTGGGTGTAAGTTGGTAGTTTTCCATATCAGGATTTTAGTGTTGTGTAGAGGAAGTTTCTCATCTGTGAAATATTAATTGCTGCTGTTAATATAAATGGATTAGAGAGGTGGGAAATATGGATCGCAAGAGTTCTGTGGTTAAATTATTTGTATTATAGGTCCTCAGCTTCACAACTTTTTTTGTGTATAGATGGAAACTGGGAAAATCGCTTTAATCACAACCAAGAAGTCTTATGTTGCCTCAGTTGCACTTGATGATGGCTAATAATTTTGCATTTGTATAATTCACATTTCTATTCTGTTTAATTTGTAGAGACTTGAAGCCTGAGAATATACTCCTTGATGACTGTGGTAAGTAAATATTAAAATTAATTTTGAAATTGGGAATTAAAATCTAATTAATACTGTGCCAGAAATCAAAGGGATTTCTTCATAATAAAAGGGACCTGACTGGCAAATGTTAACTTTAATTAGTAAAGAAAAAACTGCCCTTGCTTTTTAGAAAGTAGGGGAAAATACTGGGGTTTGGGGGACGACGATGATGATTTTTGAGGGGTCAATTTCCCACCTTAAAATGGCTACTTTTCCCCTTTTGCTCCTCCTTCTCCCCCCCCCACCCCTTGATTTAGGATGGCTAAAACTTTTATATAGATTTGTTCTCTGCTTGTCTTGTCTTTGACTATGGAAACATGATTTGTTAGATGTGGGGCCAGAATTTTACTTAGCAAATGGTAATTAAGCAATAAAGAAGAAAAGAAATCTGAAGCATCTCTGTTTTAACATTTCAACTAAAACAGGTCTGATGGTCACTGATGCATATGTGGCTGGAAAGAATCAAGGAAGTACAAACAATATGAAGAAGTGTTTGTAGATTTTTGTTTTTCAAAAGCCAAATTAATTTTCTTTAATGACTTTGTATGAAATTTATCAGAATCATTTGAATTCACTGTAGAGCATGTGCAGGAATTACCTTCTTCTAAGCTGTTGATGAATATTACCAGTTTGTTCCTGTAATTGCTGAGTATTTTAGTTAAGGAAAAACTGGTTTTGAAGTCATTAGCACAATTTTTTTTTTTTAAGTCAGCATGTTCTGACTGATAAACTTCTAAAATGATGAGGCTTGGGAGAAGTTGCTTTCCAATAGCTAAAGCTTTGTTAGACATCAAATGCATTCTTTAATTTTTCTCTCCAGCAATGTCTCGCAAAAGCTGAAGGCTTCTTTGAGGAAAAATCTGGCCTTGCAGGACTGCACTAGAATGCTTTCTCTCTGCCAGGGATATTCTGATCTTGTTCCAGAGAGCAGAGGGGACTAATTAGAAAATCACTTTGGGAGCTCAGATCCTGCACTTGAAAAGGGGTTCATCACATGTCAGGGAATAGAAAAGCATCTAAATGTATTTAAAATAGCATTTGCTGCTCAAGAGCATTTAGTTATTTCCAACCAGTATACAGAGTGGCACTTGACTTTCTCCAATCTCTCCCCCTACCCCTTGACTTTCTATCACATGTAAATAAATTAATATGCTTTTAACTAACATTGCTGTAGAGCTTTTTGAATGACAGAGAATATATGTGCAAAGGACACTTGGGCATTGGAATGGGCTACCCAGAGAGGTGATGCAGTGTCCATTCTTGGAAGCTTTCTAGACAAGAATTTAAAAAGCCTTGAACACTTTGAGCTGAGCTGCTTGCTCCAGAAAGTTGTACTAGAGACCTTCTGAAGTCTCTTCCAGCCTGAATTATTCTGTGAATCTGTGATGTTTCTGTAAATGGCAGTGTCCCTGTACTTATATCCAGTATTAGAAATAAGTGTGGGTTCTGGGTTCCCCGGTGCCCAAATCTTTCTACTACAGATGACTGGCAATTTTCTGTTTTAAAATTGAGTTGAAAATGTAATTGTCCTTTCTTCTGTCTAGCAGTTTATATTTTTATTAAGCAAGTACGTTATGTATTTTTAAATTAGAATCATGTCAATACAATTCTTACTTTGAATTGTCTTGAATAATTTGCTGTTGAGTCTGTCCAGCAAAGAACTGTATCTGTCCATGGGAATGTAAGAGAGAGTGGGATGAACTTATTCCCATTGCTCTTCTTGGACCGTTTCCCAATCTGAGCAGTGTTGTTCATGACAAATCATGGTCTTCCACCAGACTACTTCTGCATTAATAGGTACTAGTGTAAATGCCATGCGTAATAGGAAAGGTAGTCAACTTGAGAAGTCTGACTTATAAAGTGAAATAGAAGCTGAAGTTATCTACATTAGACTGATTCATGAGAAGGGGAAATCCTAATATTGAACTAACATGTTACAATATAAGTAATTCTAAGTAGGTTATGGCTAGGCTACTTTTCTTTTGGGGTGGGAGTGGGGATAGCAATTCCAGTTCTTGTGCTTAGCATTATTAGAGTGCTTTGTTAGAGGAAAACCTGATGTCTCAGTACAGGATACAGTTTCCTCATACTTGGAATAAATGGAGTAAATTCTGATGTTTTGTTAGGAAGTCAGAAAGCTAAGTGTTTGTGGCGGGAATACAGCATGGAAAAATACAAGTGTCTGATGTGTAGATACAGAATTTGAAATGAGCAGTCATCATTTCTATTCATGCTAGAGCAGCAGCCTGTGCCAAAGCTAGGAATCAGAGTACTTAACAGCAATTTTTGTTGTATGTCCTTCAGGAAATCAGTTAGATCTGTGCCTCTATTCCTTTATGTATTTAAGGGAGGGTTGAATAAAGATAAATCACTCCTTTCTATTTAAGTTAAATAACCTTAGTGCTATGGGTATATGAATGTTTTGGGGTGGCTTTTTGATGAGGTAGGCTACAGAATTTTTTTGTTTTAGAAGTGGTGATATTATATTATTTGCTGACTATGTATAATTTATTTTAACATAAATAGGACATATCAGAATTTCAGATCTTGGATTAGCTGTGCAGATTCCAGAAGGAGAAACAGTCCGAGGACGGGTTGGGACTGTTGGTTACATGGGTATGTAAAGTATCCTTTGCTAGTTATGTTTTACCAGAAAGTTTGCTTCTATGAATATATGAATGACTTGTCCAAAGAACTGTATTTGGTCTGGATTAGTTACTAGACATTTTATGGGAAGAAAGGTTATGTGGTGGTAGATGTTAGGAGTCAATTATAAGCCTACTGATAAACTTGGAAACTTAACTCTGGAAATTCTAGCTTTAGGTAGAACTTTTAAGATAGCACCTGATTTTTTTTCTGAGGTTCAAAGAGATTGAGGGTCACAGGTAAGCAGACAAATTACTACGACAACACATTTCTTTCCATGCTTTGGAAAAACTTCATTAAGTGTTAAGGAACTTAAGTGCTTCTCTGATAAAGAACTTAAGTGCTTCTCTTGGATATAAACAAAGTCCTCGCTGTGGAAATTAATATTTCTTCAAAGTACAGAGGAGTTATGCAAAGATCTCTGCACAGAACCAAAAGAGTGCCTGAGAGTTTTTTCAATATTCAATTAGTTAATTTAAAATTAATTGATGTGGGGGTTTCTTTTGGTTTTGTTTTGTAGCTCCAGAAGTGCTCAAAAACGAAAAGTATACATTCAGCCCGGATTGGTGGGGTCTTGGGTGCTTGATTTATGAAATGATTGAAGGACAGTCTCCATTCAGGAAGCATAAGGAAAGGGTCAAACGGGATGAGATTGACCGGAGAGTAAAGGAAGACCAGGAAACATATTCAGACAAGTTCTCAGAGGAGGCAAAATCCATCTGCAGGATGGTGGGTGAAGAGACATAGAGGTTTGAAAATTAAATTTCTAATCCTTTTCAAGAGATGAACTACTTTATTTTAATATCTTCTATTGAAAATTTTTCAAAGATGGAGTTCTTAAATCTTTCTTTGGTTCAGATGGAAGTTTGTGATTGTCCATGAATTGTTTTATTATCAAACTTAGAGCATTCAGAACTTTTTTCAAGATGAAGGAAGGCTGCATAAATTGATTTTTCATCACGTGAATGAAAAGGTCCAGTAGTTCTTGGACCACATGTAATTATAGATGGAGTACAATAGCATGCTCAACTTTGATACTGTATGGGGAGAAATGGCAGAGTAGTATACTAGTTTCCTTGCCTGAAAGAGTCTGTACAAGACAACAGGTTTTTTTAATCTTGCATGTTCTTAAATTTAGTAAGAAGCACTTCTATACAGAAAGCTTCAAAAGTTTTCTTTACTAGTTTATGCAAAATATGTGCATTACTTAAGCCCATTGGGAAGAAAGTAAGTCTGTATTTCCTAAAAGTAAAGTCTACTGCAAAGTCCGTACTATAAAATCTCTTTAGCATGGCATCAATTAAAATATTTTCATATGACTTTAGGTATAATCCTCAAATGGTCTGCTTTCAGGGATCTTTTTACTCCCAGAATGTTGTAGTTTGGATTTCCAGTTCATTTTGATACCATGATAAACTTAATCTAATAAAAGGCCAAGTAACAAAGTAAATGTATTGAAAGACATTGTATATAGATTTTTTTTTAAATTGTGGAATTGTATCACTGGATCAGCCTTTTTTTCCATATCCTTGCAGTTACTTGCTAAAAATCCAGAGGAACGACTGGGTTGCACTGAAGATGGAGCTGCTATTGTAAAGCAACATCCTATTTTCAAGAATATCAACTTCAAGAGGCTGGAAGCTAACATGTTAGAACCTCCATTCTTGCCAGATGTAAGTAGGTGAGACAGATTTGATTAGTATCTCAAAAAGGCGAGAACTGTCATAATTCTATGTCAGCAATCATGTGAACTCCAGAGAAACCTTGAAAGCTAGTTAAATTGGCAGGAGAATGCCTGGAGTAGCTATTGACGGCTCGTTGTTTTGTGGCGTTTCATCTGAGATCACAAAGCAATTTACAATAGCGGTATTGCTCTAGGGAGCTTTGTAGCTGATTTCTTAGCCCTTAAAAGTCTACTTCTCTAGCTCAGATGCTGAACAAGTGAAGATTAGCTTTGAGGAAATTACTCTGGGCTTGAAAGAAGGGTGATGGAAGATGAGTGAGTTATGACAACCATTAAGAAATCCAGAGAAGTTGCATGCTGTTTCTGGTTTTGATATTTCTTTCTTGTTAGTTGCAGGATGGATGGAATTGCTCAGGTGCTTTATGATGACAGTCTTTTAAGTTTTTGCATTTCTGTTTTGTAGTATAGTGCTATTTGATGATCAGCAATGTGAAATATAAAATTGCAGACATTTCACTCCCCCTTTGCCCATCTAGGAAAGAAAAAAAAAAACAAACCCACAAAAAACCAAAAACCCCCGAAACCAAAACCTTAATGAAGCAATCTTGTATTGTACTGCAGCCACGTGCCGTATATTGTAAAGATGTCCTGGACATAGAGCAGTTCTCGACAGTAAAAGGAGTGAACCTGGATACTACAGATGATGACTTCTATTCCAAATTTGTTACGGGCTGTGTCTCAATCCCTTGGCAAAACGAGGTATTGTATATTTCATAAAAGATTATTTTCTTTAGCACAGCAATACAGAAGATTTAATAAGGGGTATAATTATAGTATTAACTTTCTCTGTGAGAGGTAAAGAAGTTTCTGCTTTAGACTTTGTTGCTGAGAGACTTCAGAAAAAAAATTTTCCCAAAACATAAGCAACTTGCTAAAAATTGAGATCTATGGTAAATTTGTATAAATAGAATCTGGCATCTTGTCATCATAGATACAGCCTACAGAACAGTATTTAGCATTAGTATGACCACATTTTCCTTGTTCTTCTATCACGTTATTCAATTTTGCTGTTTATAGGAGAGGGATAGAATGCTATTCAAAGTACTCAAAAGCAACAGGCACGGCGCAAGCTGTTTGTGTATTATGCCTGTATATCAGTAGAGGATCCGAGTGACACAGTAATACAGAACTGCAGATTCACCTTTTCTAAGGTTTCAAAACAAACAGTTTAAGATTGGTTGAGTCAGACTTTCTCCTAAAGCGTTTTCATCTGCCTACTGAGTAAGTGTTCTAGTATTCTGCATAGAATACTAGAATTTTGCTACCTCTGCGTGCAGCTCAGTCTGTATTGATGAAATTCAAATCTTTATTATTTCAGGAAGAGCACTCAGTAACGATTATTTAAAATTGTAGTTCTTGTTATGAATGCCTTCCCCCTACTATAAGATGTTCATAACTTCCTGAAATTAGTATTGTCTTGAATTCTACTAGCGTAGTTTCTTTCCCAGTATGATTTTTTTATTTTATTTAAAGCTTGAACACAAAAGATGAGCAATTTCTGAACATGTCAGAGAAAAAAGTACATTCCTTTTTGTTTCCCTTTTGCTTTTTTTTGCATTTCATTAAGAAGGAGATTTGAAAGCTGTCATTTGACATAGAAAGTCTTCACTAAGAAGCAATGAACCTTAGGCTGTTGGAGAAATAAATATTTCCTATGCTGCGTTGTAATTCTAAACTTCATAATATGATCCAGTCATTAAGAAATGAACTGCAGCTTAATAACTCTAACCCCACACAGAGGGATAAAGTTGAAAGTAGTTGTGGAATCCTGGTGATAGTAATTCCTTCTCTTCAAGGAATAACTGTGCAGACTTCATTTTACGTTTGTGCTTATTTTTTCTTTTAATTCATGTTACTGAGCTGTCTGTCAAATCTTTGCTCTATGTCTCTTAAGAATTCCTCTCCACCCCCCCCCCCCCTACTTTTACCTAATATCATGGTTTACAACAGAAGCAGACAGCATTTCTTCTTACTCGTCTTTATGCCCGCTCTCCCTCTACAAGGTATACTCATTTGGTTGCATGCCCATTATGATAGATGTGTATCACTGGCACTCACAGATAAATGCCAACTACATGTGGGCATTAGTCACTCTTCCCCTTCTGACCATGCCTGTTTGTTACATTTTGGCATTTACTCTTTCTGCTGTCCTTTCTGCACCTGGTAACTGTATTTTTAATTCTTTTGTTTTCTGTGTACACAAACACAGATTATTTCAAAATGCCTTGCTTCTCTCCAGAGACCTGTCTTCATTAGATCTTTTTTTTTTCCATGAAGTATTGCCTTCTCTATCTCATTGCCTTATTTTTAATTATAATATATGTTGTGTTGTGATAGATGGTTGCCCAAAACACCACAGTTTAAATTACTGTGGTCAGACATCAGCTGCTTTTTCCCCAAGGATGCAATTCGTCCCCTTTGTAAAAAGTATTCCCCCTAATACTATGCAGGTACTAGTATTCTGCATAGAATAATCATTTCTCCTACTCAATGTCATGTTTATTTATAAAGTTGAGTCCAGGGTGTAGAGATACTATATTTGTTAGGCTAGACTGCTCCAAAATGAACAGAATAGATGAAAGGAAAATCAATTTCTGGTTCTAAAAACTTCTGCTTTTTGCATCATGGGCAGAAGAAATGCTTTACCAAAGCAAGGGAGCATCTGAGTACTCACCTGCATGATAGTGCTTTCATTGCTATTCTTTAGTTTGCTGGATGCACAAGAGAGTTAATGTAGACTTTGTGCTTCATGCAGCTCTGCGGGTGGTGTAGTTTGGCTGATGAATTTGTAAGTTGTCAGGAGTACCAGCCAAAGTAAATAGATAATACATGGAACATGTCTGAGAGGCTTGTATGGATATTTCATTCATATTTCCTGTGTTTCAAAGATGATTGAAACGGGATGCTTTGAAGATATCAACGCATATGAAACTGATGGTACTGTGTCACCAGACAGAGAGAGGTCTCCTAAACCAAAGAGAGGCTTCTTTCACAGACTTTTTAGTGGAGAGGTAAGGGTATTTCTTTTCTTTTGTAAGAAAATTGCCACTAAGACCTGAACATCCACTCAATTTTTAATATTCTTTTGTGATAGTAAAAACAAGTTGTCTGCTGAATACCGAAACTAATGAAATCTGGTTTATTATGGCTTTGCCCCTGCATTGCGTTTCAGAAATTGTAGCAATCCCTATAACGCCATGAGTTTTTCCTCCCTCAGCATTCTGTCTTCCTCTAGCGTCTGCTAGCTGTTACCTGGGGGACACGTAGTGTGTGCTGTTAGCAGCTGTGCTATAGATCTTTCTTTCCTAATGATATTAATTTGGGTCTTGCTCCTTATGTGTTTTGCCAGTTTTTATAAAAACTTCTGGGGAGATGACTTCCGATATAATTGAGGCCCCCTCTGTAAAAACTTAAATAAAATAAAAATATCCCCTAAATGAATGAGTGTGAAGTGTCACAAAACAAATGTTAAAATATCTTAGGAAGTTTAATATCTTTACCAAAACAACAGCATAATATATGTTTACATAGCTTCTGATAATGCACAGCCTTTTCTTACACACATAATTTCTACTCTTAAGTAAACATTTTGAGGTATGTGAATTGAGTATTTACCACCTAAAAGACATGTGGCATATTGTGCCTGTTTATAGGTCATGAGAAATAGGCTATTTGTAAAGGTTTTCACTTGAAGATGTTGTACACAATTCTGCTTGCTCAGTATGCTTGCACTTAGAGTGGAATTATCTTGAGAAGCATGCGTATATTCCAGTAGAGAACACTTCTGTAGAAATTACTTTTGCTTTCAAGCAGAAATGGAATTTTAAAATTGCTAGGAGCATATCATTAAGTAGCCACAACAGGGCCATGTATTAAAATTGCATGATGATTTTTTTTGTCATCAGCTGGTAATTCACCTCTCTAAAATGGTACAATGCTAATGGAATGTGTAATAGTACTGTCATTTTTAGTTCACCTTTTCAAATTCACTTTTCCCCTACTTACGGTAATGGAATAGAAGGAATGGTTAAGTGTACTAATAATCTCACATAGCTAAAGTTAAAGCTTGTGTCTTACTGTAGTCTTTTCAAGCTGAATCAGCAGGGTTGATACTGTCCCAAGATATGGTTCTATGTATTGAGAAAGAGTCCTAAAAAAATTAATAAGGCTTGAGAGCCTTTAGTTGGTTTTGAAGTAATAGGACTGCAGTTAATTGTCCTGTGAAGTTAAAAAAAGGAAAGAGCTTAAGGTTAAATGAAACTTTAATGACTTGAGATTTGGGGTTGGGTTGTGGTTTCTTTTGATATTCCCAAAGCATTTAGTTAGTATGGAGTAAAATGTGCTAGAAAAAGAGCCACCCCCCTAGCCTTTCTGAGCCCCATAAAACACACAAACCGACAATAGTGTCAGTTCTGCAGCTGAATTGTCTCTTTGTCTTCTCTTGCAGGTCTGCTTTAAATCTGATTGCAGTGATGATGAGCAGGAGTCCTCCAGACTTTAAATCATTTTACTCTCATCAGAAAGGATGAGCAAACTTTAAATGTTTTATATCTCTGTAGCAAAGTGTATTATATATATTTTTTATCTGAGTTCAAGGATTTTTGTACATTTGTACTTCATTTGTTTTAAGATGTATATTTTCACTAAAGCTTAATTGTACAAAAAGCAATGAGTGCCATTTGAGTGAGTGTGTTTCTATATGTATTTGATTTATCTTGAATTTTTTTTTTTTTCCCCCTCCCGGTGGAATCAATCTAAAAATACTAAAAGGATTTTAAAGCACAGAGATAATATCTATGGCATTGATGTAACTTGACTTTGTATGCTCCTGGTAAAAGTTGTCTTGTTCATTAGGATCCTTATTAGCAGTTTTTCTAACAGTAAAATTGCTGTACTGATAAATTTCATAATTCCGGTATTATCCGGCAGCATGGCAGTGCTATTACCTAATGTATCTCTCGAGCAAATGCTAAGGAAAAAGGAATTCGGTGCACTGTGGCCAGCTATTATGAATTGCTCTTTACTGTCTGGCTCTGTAGAATGTCTTTCTGTATTTCTATATATAGAGAATTCTAAACATTTAGCTTAATCCTGTAACAAACTGTATTACCCCATTCTTCTCCTTTCTACCCATCTTACACATCCTCTCCATACAGTTTCTTGGCATGGACCATGCAAGCAGACCTTTGCCAAAATTTTATAACTACATTTTGAGTACTTTGTGGCCTTTACTAAAAGGATTTCTTTTTACCTGTGGGGACACCTTTTTATTTTTTCTGTAAATGAAATTGTTTACAACTCCACGTAGGATGTTATAGTTTTATAATGGGTTAAAAAGCAAAGCATGGGCTCTTCTTACTAACCTCCTCTGTGCTTATTGTGTTGTAATACGCAATATTGTAGGGTTGACAGCGATCACTGCCACTGAGGGAAAGACAAGGTAATATTAAGTATCAAATTTATTTATGTAAATAATCTTTCCTTATAACCTTTAAAAACTTAAACATTAGAACCTGTCTTTAGTGATTGCTTGGTGCAGATGTGGAGCTGGTATTGAAGTTTTAGTTGTGATTACCTGATGTTCATTAGTAAAACTGCTTCCAGCTGCTTGAAAGCTTGTCAAACTTCTGTTCTTCTGGACTCAAAGTATGCCAGACTTTCTTTTTATTTTGTAAAGTTGCTGGTAAAACTATTAATCTTTGTAGGAGAATGAATTTAGGGAACGTATTTCATCAAAAGCCTATTCTGTTTTCAAATTTTGAGTTAGGGACCTGAAATATAACGGAATGCTCTTGGAGTTGCAGACATGACTTTTTGTTCTGTATTCTGAAGATTTGTCTCCCCTGAGCATGCATTTTTTTCCTCTCAAATCTCTAGGGCACCAACCAGACCACACGTATGTTATACACATAGAGCAACTGAATATCCCTCTACCTCAAATAGGTTTCTGCTTGTGATCTGCAGACCCACTGGAAGAAACTTAAGCTGCTTCTGAGAAACTCACAGGATACATTTGATACTCAAGCCTGTCGTCAGGTTTTAATTCACAGTATTTTGTCTCTAGTGACAAATGTTTTAATGGGTTAGAATTTGAAAAAAATTGGAAAACCAGTGTGTTACCGAATCCTACTGGGGCTGAGCTGGTGTCTATCTGAAATTGTTCCTCTTGGCTACTGTGCCACAGAAATGAGGAATGAGACTCCTTTCCTGTGTTTTTAATGCATTTTCCTTGATGTCTAAAACAGCACAGAGGACAGCAGAGTGACTGCTGTAGAAAGTACAAAGGGAGAAACCAGCAGAGGGAGAGTTTGAATGAATTACTGGAAGATAGTCTGATGCAACAGCGAAGGGATGGGAGGCTTGACAGAGAAATATCTGAAGTGAGGGTTTTGGCTGGAACCATTATGTGTGAGACAATGAGCTGGCAGGGTCTGACCTGACCCTCTTTATTATGTACCACAATAATAGAAGGACTCTAAAAAGATGGGAATGGAGAAATAGGGAAGTAACAAAAGTGTTTTGTAAATACCTACCTGGTTGGAGAAGTGATCATGTTTCTCTGATTAAGGGGTTTAATTTTTTAAGATCTTAGGTTTGCTGTTCTGAGGCAAAGGTGACTGTATTAACACTGGACATATGGGGTGACAGTCTGGATTTAATGCCTGCTTAGAGCAACTTGAAATTTGGGCAAGAATACCATGGACATGAGCTGAGCAATTTTTATGAGGAAAACACAGGAATTGGCTTTAACAAATAAAAAAAAAAATCTGAAAGTCTATTTATTATGTATTTCAAATTTTCTTTCCATATTGGAGGGGGAGGGATCTTAACTTTAAAAACCAAAACCAAACCCAAAAAACAAAGATAAAATCAGCTCTTCTATTTTGGAGTGCTGAGACTTAACACTTACTCTTCAGGGATCTGTGAAGAAAAAAGGCTAGATGAAGAGAAAAGGGAAGTTGTTCCTAAGAAGTCGTTAGTCATACATCCGCTTCTTTGGACAAGGAACTCCAACCATGCAAAAAAGTGGAGGATTTGTGCGTTTTTATGAAGCTTTATTTGGTTTCATTTCACAAGCTTTTTTCTTATGTTCTGAATAATACTATTGAATTGTTTTTGCGTAACTACATGTTCGCAGGATTAGGACTTAAATTCTGTTGGTTTGTGGGGGGTGGTGTTTGCTCCCCCCCAGGCTCAAGATGGCATTTTTCTACTATAAATTTGTCCCTTTTGGCTAGAAATACAACCATCTAATAATGAGTAGATATTATCTAATGTGAATCCCCTAATGAATTGGAAAAGACAAGAAACTGGAAGGATCAGCATAACTCTCCTTATACGGCACATGGATATTAAGGTGTTACGCTGTTTAATCCAAGGTGACACATTGGTTAGATGTCTTTACTGGAGTATTAGTAGCTTGGAGATGCATTTTGAAAGTGGGGAAAGGGTAAGGAGAGGGGAGAGCACCTGAAAGCAAAATATTGTGGCATGATAATATGAACTTTGCTCTTGATTTTTGTAGGACACAACTGAGACAAAGGAGGAAAAGGCAGCAGGTTGTGTATACTGATTATGTAGCCTTTTATTTCCATGAAGCTGTTTTAAAAAAAACCAAAAAAACCCAACCAAACAAAAAAACCCTAAACCAATGTAAATTCTTGTCATTCAGTGTGACTTCATTGTACCTCCATGAATTCAGATTCTAGATCCATATGTTAGGAGGCTTTAATAGCAGTGAGACAATCCAACAACCCAACTGCTTTGTTCTGCTGGTGCAAGATATGGAAAGATCTATGGAATTCCATGGAGTTACTTGCATGAGATCAACCCTCCTTTTCTGTGGCTTGTGTTTCCAAGCATTTTTGTATGTAAGTCTTAATGTCTGCTTGTGCATACCTCATGAATCTATATATTTAGCTCAAAATTCAGAAACTGTGAAACAATGTACTAGTATCTTACTGGTTTACTTAATGCTTTTCAATGTTGTGACCAACAGAATAGAATCTTCATGCCTCAGGGTTGTTCTCTTAATATAAAAAAAACTGTCAGCTTTTTTTTTTTCCCTCTCCAGAGGTGAAGTGTTCATAATAGCGATGGTGTTATGTTTCTGGATTATAACAACAACAAAACAGTCTCAGTTGAAAAAAATGAGCACTTAAAAATAATTACTGTATAATAATAAATAGGAAAAAAACCTGTGGTATAACAAAGAGAGTGCTATTGAAAAATCTTAGCCTTTAATAGAAGATGTTGTATGTCTTCTTTTTTTCCCAAACCATTCTTAAAGCAGTAGATGTGAAGGGTTTTGATTATGAAAGAGAATTAGCTCCATCTCAGAATAAAATTATGTCTAATTTGAGAAATCAATAATAGAAGGTATTCAAAAACAACTAAAAATCCATTTTTAGAATGAACTTCAATTATTTTTCAAACAATACTGATGTAAGAAATTTCTCATTGCCATTTGTACAAACGAAGAATACTTGTTTACAAGTTATTAAAGTCAACAGAAGTAATATTATTTTACTTTGGTTTACAATTTAGTATTACACTAATTTAATATTGGAATGATCGCCTTCACTTTAGTATAGATTTTCAGAAAATACCTCTCTTTAGGAAGTACTCAGAAAATAGAATTAAAATGAAGAAATTAAGGAAAAGCATCTTGAAGCTAAGTTTATGTTTACTTTCATTTGAATTACCTGCCTGGCTCATTTTGGTGATGATGATGTCTCTTCTGCTGAATGTAGCATTCTTTTTTATTTTGTAATTTTTCTTATGGTGTAACTTAAGTTTTACACGAGATGTATGTAGCTTTTCTCGTGTTCCACATGTGTCCAAAACACCGGAATTTTTTCCAAGTATAGCGAAGCTGACTTAAATGTGATGTGCTAGTTCCAGTATCTCCAAACCACTGAATTTGTTCTTGTATGAGCTGTTTTCCTGGATGTTCTAGCATTGTTATTCCTGAAATAAAAAGCAAAACACTGCCGCATATCTCGACCACATGTATTACTGTCTAATGTGATTTATTTATGATGTCTGTCATGGTAGCCGGGATAGATAAAAGAAAAATTGTAATTTAAAAAAAAAAAAGCAATTTGTTGAAGCAGAAAATGTGTATTACATGCTGTAATTTCTTTACCAATGTAAGATTGTCAAATCCAGGAAAAAGTGCCCTACCTCTGTTGTATTTGCTCAATTGATACCTTATCTCATGGTCTGAATCTTGATTTCTACATAAATTCCTGTGTGAAAAGACAGAATTATTGGGATGGGCTGTTTTTCATTAAGACATTTACTGTGATAACACTATGAATGTGAATGCAAGATTGGTCCGTAGTAAGTGTAGCTCCACTTGTCATCAGCCTTACCGTGCATATTGAATTTTCTACTGTCGCCAAAGGAAACTAACCAGACTTCACTCTCCTGGAGAGAATTTATACCTTGATATTAGTTGGATTTGCGGTTTTTTGTATCAAATACTTTTCAACAGTAGGCTGCTTGTATTTTCAACATTTTGCCCTGTTTACGGAAAGGCTTTCACTGCAATCTTATGACATGTGTTGGAGGGTTAAGCACTCAATTACTATACGGAACAGCTTCAAATTAAGTGACTTCAACAATAATTTAACTGTGCTACGGTGTATTGCAGATTATCT